TAAAACTAAATTTTAAAAATCAACGAAAAAATCGACGGCTTCTTTGTCCAAATCAAACAAAGAAGTCAATAATTTTTTCGTCTAATCTGATAAAGAAGCCCGCCAAACTTCTTCGTCCATGTCGATCTAGATGGAGAAGATGGCTTCTCCGTCCAGATCAACATAGACGAAGAAGACATGAGTACATGACAACTTGGTTGCCATGGACAAAGAAGTTGCAATGACAAGATTATTGTTGTTGTTTTTCAAAATATAATTATTTTGTTTTTAATAAAATTTAAAAAAAAAATCCTATTAATCTATGTGGCAGCCCGCGTGACATGTGACTTGGAGCAACATGCTATTATAAGTTAAATGGATTAATTATATGATTTAACAAGTTTAAAGGTCTAATTAAAAAAATTTTAGTTCAAGAGTCTAATTAAACTTTGATATATAGTTAAAAGTTGTATTGGTCCTTATCTCTTTTTTGTATTACTAATCATTTTTTACAAATACAAATTGCAATAAATGAATGTATAATGCACAAGACATAGATCAACGTTGACCAGACCAGATATTATTTTCTAAACCCTTAAAAAAATTCAAATATGTCCGCGTGAAATTAGGTTAATTTCACGCTACTAACCATCTGGAAGATAATAGCAATACAGGATAGAAAGTGGGTATTTGACTACAAATTATGCCCTGGAAACACGGGTCCAAACGGCGCCGTTTTTACGTTAAAAAAAAAAAAAAAAAAAAAAAAAAAAAAAAAAAATCGCTAATGTAGTGTTAACGGCGCACGTTTGGTCCGATTATGAATTTTCTGTTATGAGATTATGAATGTACTGTAAATTCATAATCTCATAACAGAAAATTCATAATCGCATAAAAGAAAAATATTTATTAAATTATGAATTTTTTGTTATGAGATTATGAATTTACTGTAAATTCATAATCTCATAACAGAAAATTCATAATCTCATAACAGAAAATTCATAATTCATAACAGAAAATTCATAATTTATGAATGTTGAAGAAGCTTGCGCTATAAAGGAGCAGCCATGGTTTCGGACGGAAATGTGAAGGCATGGTTCCAAAGTGAATGTGCAGGCATGGATTCATAATTTATAAATGTCCGAAATTATTGCTCACCTCAAATTAAAGTAAAACCGCGAAATGTAAAAATGAAGAAGAAAAGCCACGCGATTAATTAAGAAAAAAAAAATAACGGTATACTAACACCGTTGAGACCGTGTTCACCATGGATGGTGAACATGGTTCCATAGCATAACGATTGTTTGGCAGTAGCACATAATGAAAACAAACAATTCGAACTAAATAGACTGTTCACTTGTTCTATAACGTTGTTGATCCAATAGACCAAATTTCCTAAATAGGACGAGTCAAAATTAGAGAATACCGACTATTTTTCCACATGTGGGTTCTCCAGTAATGTTATGCGGCTGAGCATTTCCTGATTAATGATTATTATGCACTTTCCAGATCATTGACTGATTCCTTGGTTTTATTATCAAGTAGGTAGCATAGGAATAGGAATTGGGAAAAAATATAATATTTAAAATATTGAATATAAAACATGAAAATATCAAAATAAAAGGATATATTTATAAATGTATTTTTAAATAGGTATAAGTATAAATTTTGTACTCAAAAAAAAAGTAATTATAAAAAGTACACAATATAAAATATATAGAGAAACATATGGAATAAGATTTTCTTTTTTAACCAAAAAAAAAAAAAAAAAAGAAGATAATTTTTATGTAAAACGTGTATGCTTTTTCATTTGATATAGTTTACAAAATATATATATATATATATATATATATATATATATATATATATATATATATATATATATATATATATATATTAAAAAAGTGTTTTTATTGATGTGCTCTAAATCATTTTAATTACAAGAAAAAATTTCGAAACATTGAGTTTCTACAAATTTACAAACCTAATAACATCTAATAAAGTTAGGCCCTAATGCGAACTAAAAAATGTTAGTGTAATTGTTTGTTGAAATTAAAGGTTCATATTATATTGATTTTAGTATTTGTTTTATTATTATTTTTCTATTTTACCATCTATTATATCATTCACTTTTTCTAAATACATTTGTATTCCACTAGTGTAAATTTTAGTAACGAAATATTCGTTTAACTATTTATTATTTTTAACTTACTCATTAGTTTTCATAAGAAAAGTCTTAGGTTCGAAGCACATCCCAACCAAAATTGATATAATTATTAAACATATATATACTATGAATATGTTAGAGTGTATTAAAAAAATACAATATAAAATTTAAAATGAACTTTAGTCAATTAATTAGAATCACGCATTGGCATTGATGAAACGGTTCACCAATTTTACAATATATATTCAACACATGAAAAACTATGCATGCCTATTATCATTGTTTTTTGGAGAAAGAGGATTTAGTTCTATTTTTTAAGGTGCATTGCGCTAAGACACTAAAATTGCAGTGAAACACACCAAGGGAATAGATTAAATCAAGAATTTATTTCTGGCGAAAGTAGCAATAAGAGGAAGCATGGATCATGCTAATTGATATGATTTTGTGTTGAAAAAATCTATGCTTACGGTACTAGCCAGTGAGGGTACTTCCCTCTAAAATTGTTATTGCATCAGTTAATCTAACATATTTAATAATATTGCATTGATATACATCATGATACAAAATGATACTTTGATAAATTCTGAAACACTAATTTAAAAAATATACATTGGACATCTGATTATTCGCGCAATGTGCATGTGATAACTAGTTTAATATAGAAATATGATGGAAACATGAAAATGTCCTTAATATTTTACTAAGAGTTTATATCAATATTCAAACCCTTTATGGAGTATTTTTCATTTTTTTTGTCTTGAAAGTTTAAATTAAACTTTGTTTTTTGAGGAAATTAAAAAAGATTAATTTATTTTGACATAGTTTAAAATTAAGCAAATTTCACTTTTAATCAACTATTGTGACATTGTCACATTTATTCATACTCTTTTAATTTTGTCACATTACATCATTTTCTTTCCTTTGTTTTTCACATGTCATCCTCTTTTTAAAATTTTGTTGCCAAGTATGACTAATATGAAGTTTGATCATTCAATTAAAAGAGTTTACAAGAGAAGGAGAGACATTACATGTTGAGGCAAGATGTTAGAATGATAGAAATTGCATGTTGGCCTTTTCTATAAATGGTGAAATGATAAAAATTTAAATGGATGATTAATTGTATAAGAATAATGTAAAACTAAAAGAATATGACTAAATGAAACAATGGACAATAGTGGATGACAAAATGTGTAATTTGCTATTTCAAATTTTTTAAATCTACTAATATAGTTTTAATTATATCTTATCGTGATTATTAACTAATTTACAGAGATAAATAAGAACCCGATTTTAATATTTTAAAGATATATTTTTAGTTATTTTTTAATTTTTAAACTTCACTTTGCCTTTTTCTATTTTATTTCTCTGCTTTCTCTTATTAGTACAAATAAATTAGTTGTATGTAATAGTTAAAAGAAAAAGAAAAAAAAAAAAAAAGAACTTTTTGAAACACTCATAATCCTCTACAAATAATATCTGTTCTATACTTTCTTGCCATTCATTTAAAATGGTACCCGAAGTCTCACCACACTAGATAGTAGTTGAAAGTAAAATCTCATTTAAATGGCAACAAAGAACACATCACTCCTCTTTTCTAGGGAAAAATACACTTTTCACCCTATAGTGTCATTGGCGTTATACTTTTTATCCTTTAATTAACTTTTCATGCTCACTTTTCATCCCTAATTTATACTAACGTTGTTAATTTTGTCCCTAATATTTTGTTAGTAAAGGGACAAAAAGTGCAAAATCAATAATAACTTAGGAACGAAAAATGAACACGATCAGCAATTAAGAACGAATTTTACAATTATTGTATAACTTAAGGACGAAAAATGTAATTTTTCCTCATTTCAATCTTTAATCTTTAATTAATACTGTAGTATTTTTGCCCTGAAAAATTTCTTTCTCATTTAATCTTTTGAAGCTAAAAATAACTTCTTTTTTTTTTTTTTTTTTTTTTGAAAACAAGCTAAAAATAACTTAAGCTTAAAATAAACTAAAACAAATAACCGGAAAGGTGGCAAATATTACCATACAAATTTATTCCTGCTAATTATTGAATATTCACTACTTACGTTATAAAACAGATATCAAAGCAGTTAAGATACCAGCGAATCATACCCGATCAAATTTTAATCCAAAAATCAATGAATCCTAATAACGTATTGGCTCACGTGGTGAATTACCAAACGCGTGGCATACCGTAGATTATGAAGTCGGTAGTCGTCAAAATTCAAAAATGTCTATGGTCTAAGAGTCCTTTCAGATCTCAACCCAATCCAAAAACCTTACCAACTTCTACCGAACTTCCATGTGAACCCAAACATTCCATCTATATATACTTACACACTTTTCAGTCATATTAAGACGACGGCTCAGCCGGTCTAATATTCCGATGGAGAAAAAGAATAGCAACGTAGAGAAAGGGAAACAATGCACAGGGGATCACCAGCATCTTTTTGTTCATAGTCAAGTGAAGAAGATCAGGCAACAAGAGTCGGAGAGAAATATAGTGGAAAGCAGCTGGTTGCCGGGGGATACAAGAACGGAGGTCATGACTAGGCAGCATTCAAGATCACGCCTCGGGCTTATGACTGGCCAACCAGTATCTGATGGAAGAAGGTTGGTGATCTGACTAGTGGAATCTCTTGGTATGCATAATATCTACTGCAGATAGGATTACTAGGATTTCCCGTGTAAATATGAGTATGAATATGGAGTAGTATTGGATATAATATTTGGCAGTCCTCTATTTTGATTCATATTGGAATGTTGGATGACTGGTGTTTATGTGCTATTGTGCTGTGAATAAATCCAATCAATTATTTAAAAAAAAAAAAAATGAGCAATACAACATGAAGGCTACTTAGTATTCATGTAATATGTCTCAGGACAGCCTAGAACCATAGGCTTCTTATGTCAAAAATGTAATCCATGTTGAAGCGTTCATATTCAGCAGAAATATTCAAATACCACAAATCTTGTCTAAATACATCATAGTGAAATTAGAGAGAAGTAAAGAAATTCATGCTTTAAATTGAAGTTTACCTTCACGAGTCACCATGGACATTCTGAAGTACGTATCTTGCATTCTGTAGAAGAGCATCAGCCTCCTCATTTGAGGCATCAAGCAAGCGCAGCTCCTTGATTTCCTCCTGCCATTTTTCCATCTGCTCCTGGTGTATTCTGCAAATGAACAGCAGAGATAGTTCCTTGCCAAACTCACAGTCAAGTGTTTTCAGCAATTATATGGGAAAAGCACTTGCGTCTATACTACACAGCACTTACAAAATCACTCGTTCTTCAAATTCATTGCTTACTTCCTTCAGCATGGACTTCCCTGATTCAAGCATCTCAGACACCTTCTCAGGATGATTATTGTAGACGTGTAAACCAAACTTGCATTAGCATAAACTAACATATAAAGCCATTACTAGCATGGTTTAGCATCACAAACTTATTTATAACTTCTTTAAAATGATTCAGACCATTTTTTTCACCACCATTCATCAAGGAATTCAAGAAAGGGATTTTCTTTATCTTCGAATTTTCTCAGTTTTTTTACTCTGCAGAAATGGTAGTATGAGGTTTAAAAGAAGAAAAACATACCAGCTGAGTAAATCTATTGATCTTTTCTAGAATTTGAGCAATCTCTAGTTCCACTTGTTCAGAAGCCATGGTATTTGTTTCAGCTTCCTCTTCTGAAACCTTTACAATAGCACCTTCAGACTCATCCATTTCCTTCACCTAATTACGGTTATATAGCAGTTGCTTAAAAAATCTGAAAAAATATTTTGTTCTTTTGTATTCATGATATTGAAAAGGCTGAAAGCTAAGAACATACAGAAGGTTTCATACGTTTCTTTGAGATTTCCATTCCTTCAGCTTCCATTCTGAATTATATGCCTGCTTGAGTACAAGTAATTATGACACATTGCCAAAACTGAAAATTTTTTTACAATTCTGATACAGTAGAAGGATAAGTTGAAAAACTGTCATTAGGATATTTACCAAATGGAATAAACTGTAAGATAGAGAAGAAAAGTCAAATTATTCTAACCTGTATTTGATAAGATAAAGTTAAGAACATGCACAGCTAAAAAACCAAGAAAAGCCATTAAGTCCATCAACTTATGACAAACACTCTAAACTCAGGATGAAATATGCCTTGATTATCACTATTCACTACTGATCACATATCACAAAGATCTAAGGCAAAATTTGATCAGAGATAATATTGAATACTAAAAATCCATTACTTTAGCACAGAGACAAAATAATTCCAAAGAAATAATGGTAGATAGTTTACCTAGACGTACTCAACTCCTATCTTAAAAATTAAAATATCACCCCCTCCTCTGCTCTATATTCAATGTTTTACCATTATAAACAATGTGAATGAACTAGTGCTTAACTAACCAATAAGCTAATCAAACAAATGGCTTGTCAATACTTGAGCTCTAAGATTAGTGAATTAAAATGTAAAATCACAGACTATATGACATTAATTAATCAGTTAATGCCAATATAACATCCACCTACAAATTCAAAGTTCATACAGCACATATATAGGTTAGCAGTTCCACACCTCATAAGCAGTTTCAATGTTTCACAGTTACACAAGAGATGATGATCAAATGCAATGATCCAAGTGATTACAAAAGCTCTGATTAAATAGCAGAATCTAATACGACTGCGCATATAACAGATCTCACCTGAGTGCTCCGCTATTGACCTCAAATTTGCGTTGTCTCTTTCAAAATTTCAGGCAATAATTCCAATTATACTGCATCCAGATGAAAATCGAGTACGAAAATCCGCATATAAAAATGCAAATAATCACAAAAATAGCAAACGCTGGTCTATTCTTGCGCACAAAACATGAATTATGAGTTTTAGAAAAAATGCAAAAGTATAGCGAAATAAGCATTTTAGACAACGAATACCTCCGATTTGAAATGACCTGAAAACGCTGTAGTGTTCCCCAAAATCTGTGAAAGAGAAGAAGAAACTCCTAAAAATGTAAGTGTAATTTGTAAGAAAATTGAAGAATTAGCTGCGAGCTCTACGCTTACGAAGTAAGAACTGCAGAGAAACTCCGGGATGGTATGGGCGTATGGCTCAGCTCTACGGAATCGAATAAAGATGGAGAGATGAATTGCCGCGGGAATTATGAATATTTGGACTTGGGCCTTTTCCCACGGCCCAGTTAACTATTTCTGGGAAACACGGCAAACTATCAATAATTATTCCGTGGACCGTGGTCCACACAATTGGTGTGGACTACTGTTCAAAAAAGATATCATTTTATTTAATTTTTTTTTGGAACGTCCAATTTAGGGATGGCAATGTGCCCCGTCTAGAGCCGTCAAAACGGTCTCGCGGGACGGGACGGGCCAAAACACACCAAAGCCCGTCCTCGTAGCGGGACGGGCTAAAAAGCCCGTCTCTTAGCGGGCTTGGAATGTGGTCGGCCCGCCCCGCCATGCCAAAGCCCGCTGGCGGGGCGGGCTAGCCCGCCAATCAATTTTTTCACTGTGTTAATTTTTTTTTTTTTTATAAAAAAAAAATATCACTGTACAATATTCTTCAAGAAAAAAAAAACACTGTACAGACGTACAGTACACTAACACAGTAACACTACCTAGTATTGTATTCCTATAAATCTATAAACCTATAAGTTATAACACATTAACACAATTACACAAACCAGAATAACACAAAAAATAATATGTATTAAATACTAAATATATATACGGAGTACAAAATATATATGTATATGCAGGTAGCGGGCTAAACCCGTGACCCGCATGACCCGTTCCACTTGGACTCGTGACCCAAGCGGGACGGGCTAAAAAGCCCGCTTCCTGGCGGATCAAAATTTGAAGAACCCGTCCCCTACCTACGACGGTACGGGACGGGTCGACCCAACGGGTAAAACCCATTTTTGACGGTTCTAGCCCCGTCTCCGACGGAGATCCCCGATGCTCGCCCCGAAAAAGATGGGGATGGGAAAAATTTTCGAAGAACGGGGACGGAGAAATGTGTGATTCCCCGTCGGAGACAGGGACGGGAGTGGGAATACCCCTCCCCGTCCCGCCCCATCCCCGAATAATATATATATATATATATATATATATATATATATATATATATATATATATATATATATATATATATATATATATATATATATATTGTTAGTATTATATATATTTACTAGTAATTCACTCGCGCGATGCATGGGGGAAAATTATGTTATTATAAATATAAATAAAAAAATAAAAATATTTTAAATTATTTAATATAATAATATTTTTGAGCTTCCATTGGTCAAGTATTTATTATTTTTATAGAATACAAAATTACAATTAAAATTTTATATGGTTAATATGATGAAGTTACGGTAAAACTGATTGATTGAATGAAACAGTTACACAGAGAGTCCTAATACAAGAGAACTCCTAAACTATAGGCTATGTACAAGCATGACTAAGTACAACCACATAATTATATTAAGACTCTAACACTCCCCCTCAAGCACAAGGTGGATGAGAAGCAACATTGAGCTTGTCCCAAAGCGCTGCAAAGCATAGACCCGGCAGGGGCTTCGTGAAGATATCCGCAAGCTGATCTTTGGTGGACACAAAGTTGACTCGAAATTCGCCAGAGGTTACCTTGTCTCGAACAAAGTGGAAGTCGATTTCTACGTGTTTTGTGCGAGCATGGAACACCGGATTAGCACACAAATAGGTAGCCCCGAGATTGTCACACCATAACGTGGGTGGTACCGCGGAGTGCAGACCTAGCTCACGTAGGAGGGAGGCAACCCACGTGACTTCCGCAGCAACATCAGCGAGACCCTTGTATTCTGCCTCAGTTGACGAACGTGCCACCGTCCGTTGTTTGTGCGAGACCCAAGAGATCAGGTTGGTCCCAAGAAAGACCGCATACTCGCTGGTGGACTTGCGATCTACCGGACAGCCTGCCCAGTCTGAATCCGAGTAGGCGTGGACATCTGCTGAGGATGAGGCAGTTAGGCGGAGACCGTGACTCATCGTGCCCTTGACATACCGGAGGACACGCTTCAGGAGAGCCCAGTGATCGGCGGTCGGCGTATGCATGAATTGACATAGGCGGTTGACGGCGAAGGAGAGATCCGGACGAGTTATCGTCAGGTACTGAAGAGCCCCAACTAGGCGGCGATACTGGGTGGGGTTGTCAAAAACCTCAGTCGATAGCGTCACAGGTTGAGTCAGTGCAGGCTAAAGGCTTGCAATCGGTCATTCCAGCACGCTTCAGGAGATCACCCATATAGCGCCGTTGAGATAGCAGAAGCCCGCCATCTATGGGGATGGTTTCAATGCCTAGAAAGAAGCTCGGTACCCTGAGATCTCGAATCTTGAACGTAGTGCTCAAGCGGTGTAGAACCGTGTCGATGAGTACGGCGTCATCTCCTATGAGTATGATATCGTCCACGTAGACTAGTAGAAAGACCCGAGATGTCCCAGCAGTGTAATGAAACAAAGATACATCAGTCTTTGATGACGTAAACCCTGTAGAGATTAGAAAATCATATAGACGTTTGAACTAGGCTCGGGGAGCCTATTTCAAACCATATAGAGATCGTCGCAGGTGGCAGACATGATCCGGGTGTAGAGGGTCTTCATAGCCAGGTGGCTGCCGCATGTACACGGTTTCAGCAAGGCGCCCATTCAAAAAGGCGTTATGGACATCGAGCTGTCGAAGAGTCCAGTTACGAGAGACTGCGAAAGACAAAAGCATGCGTACTGTAGTCGGTTTGACCACAGGACTGTATGTATCAAAGAAGTCCTCCCTTGCGACTTGATTGAAACCCTTGGCTACCAACCGCGCCTTATAGCGCTCTGTGGTTCCGTCTGCCTTGCGTTTAGTACGATAAACCCATTTGCACCCAATTACATTCATTTGTGGCTAAGCTGGGACGAGTTGCCAAGTCTCGTTGTGGATGAGGGCGTTGAACTCTTGGTCCATTGTCTCTCGCCACTGTGAATGTCCCACGGCCTGTGAGTAGCATGTTGGATCCACAGACGCCGTGAGAGCCTGGAACTGCTCATCTGCACCCCTTGTCATGTGCCGTAGCCTCATGACATGGCTATGCTCTTGTGGCTGCTGTGGTTGTTGAGGGGGGTTCTTCCTAGGGCGACCACGACCACGTTTGGGTGAAGCAGGTGGTGCTTCAATAGCCAAGGGGGGATGAACAACATCCAAGGGTGCTTGATGTACTGTGGTAGGATCAGCCTGTGACACAATAGGACCAGATGCCCAAGGTGTACTGGCTTGGTGCACGACTTCTTGATCACCTGTACTTGTAGCAAAAAGAAACACAGTTTCATCAAAACGGACATGCCTACAGATAAAGGTTTTTCCTGTGCTAAGGTTCATGCATCTGTAACCTCTAAAGGACGGGGGATACCCTAGGAAAACACATGGGGCTGACCGGAACTCAATTTTGTGTTTGTTATATGGGCGTAGATAAGGAAAGCAACGACACCCAAAGACTCGGAGGAAAGTGTATGAAGGTGTAGTTCTGTATAGTCGGTAGTGTGGGCTTTCAAATTTGAGAGCGGAGCAAGGTAGGCGATTTATTAGATAAGTGGCTGTTTCAAAGGCTGAATCCTAGTGTTTAGTAGGAACAGACCCTTCAGCTAACAAGGCGAGACCCGTCTCGACAATGTGTCGATTGCAGCGTTCTACACGCCCATTTTGCTCGTGGATATAGGCACATGATTGGCGATGTACTATACCCAACGATTCAAACACTTTGTGTAGGCGGCGGTATTCACCACCTAAGTTTGATTGTATCGACTTGATAGAACGTGAGAACTGACGTTCTACCATGACACGAAACGAATTAAACACATTATAAATGTCCGATTTTAGCCGAAGTGGGTAAAACCAGCAGAATCGTGAATAATCATCCACGAATAAAACGAAATACTTAAAGCCGTTCACCGAAATAACAGGTGACGGCCCCCAAATATCCGTGTATACAAGGTCCAGTACATTATTTGAAATAAAAGAAACCCTATCTAATGGGAATCGGGAGGATTTGCCAAGTTGGCAAGCTGAACATAACTCAGACGAACTGGAACGACTTGTAGTGACTGGACACTGTGGCAATATTTGCTGGAGTACTTTGGAGTGCGGATGACCCAACCGACGATGCCAAATAGTGGGGGACGCCCAGGAGCTCAGGAAAGCAACATGAGACCGCGGAATTGTCAGTTTGTACAAGCCAGCCCGTGCTAGGACCCTTAAGAAGAACCTCCTTGGTAATTGAATCCTTAACAACAAAATAGGCGTCATGAAATTCAAAAAATCATTTGTAAAGCGGTGAACAGAAAGAAGGGGAACAGACAATTTTGGGACATGTAGAATATTTGACAGTTGTAAATTTTTAGAAACTGACGGAATAGATGCATGACCAACACAAGAAATTGCCAAACCTGTACCGTTTCCAACCCACATGATATCTCCTCCAGTATAGTCCTCGGCCTGACCGATCATCCCCGAGTCTGGCGTGGCGTGTGCGGTTGCGCCGGTGTCCGAAAACCACGTTTCCGACGCAGACGCTACTCCCTCGTCTCCGGTGGTTGCGACGTTAGCCTGCGGTGGTGCTGGCGGTTGGGTTGTATATCTCTTGAAGCAATACACAGCTGTATGCCCATGAGACCTGCATATCTGACAGCGAGGGGAGCCACCACCACCGCCGCGATTCTGCCCACGGCCGCCGCGACCCCGATTCTGCCCACGGTCGCGATTCTGCCCACGGCCGCCGCGACCCCGATTCTGCCCACGGCCGCGATTCTGGCCACGACCACCGCTATTACCATTCTGCCGGCGATTCTGGCCTTGTCCAGCATACATGGCGATCGGGGAGGGTGTGCGATTCTGATCAGCCGGGAGAAACTCACCCGCATAAATGAACTCCTATGCCTGGAGAAAGTCCGCGAGCTGCGATATGGTCACTGGCGAACCCGAGACGGCGAGAGAAGCGGCCATCGCTCTGATCTCCGGCCTCAATCCCCTGAACACATATAAATTTTGCTCATCAAGTGACATTGGCCTACCTGCCTGTGCGAGCTGCTCGACCAAAAGTTG